AGGTCATACAGCCCTGTCTCCACAAGCATGGGGGTAACTGGTCCTATTCACTCATTACTGAGGTCTCCCTTGGTTTCGTCTTGCTGTATTTGTCCACTGGATTTTCTTAAATGGTTTGTTCCTTGCAAGGGGCAGCGCCCTGACTTTCCACTGGCAATTTTCCACTTAACTGCAGGAACTGGGAGGGTGGAGACAGGGTTATCTGTGCCACCACCACTGCTCACAGACCAGGAGTCCCTGGGGGTGTGTGCTGATGGTTTGGGTGGAAAACTTGCAGCTTTGGAGCATTTCACTATGCACATCTACCAGGGACATAAGAGTAGGGAGAAAAGGGGTGGAGGATTAGGCCAATAGTCAACACTGCTGCTCCGGGTTTATTTTCCCTTTTTAACCAGGATAGATATCAACAGGGGAGGATAAGAGCTTTCACAAAGGATTAAAAGGCAAAAGCAGTGCATTTCACACAGCATTGAATTAGAGCATTTGGTTTTTTTCCTGCATATTCTTGGAATTCACCTGGCCAAATTCCCCCTGCTGTCCCCAGCGGCCTGTCTCAACGCCCACCAGCACTCAGCCAGCCCCCTACTACCACAGCCCAGTGAGCTCCCTCAGGGCTCCAAAAATGTCAGTGCCAGAGGGGGCATCTCCCTCAAGCAGACACTGCCAGCTCTGCCTCTCCTCCCAGCATGAGCATGGGTGGAAAGGCAGAGGGTAGGCACACCACAGAAACACTCTCTTACCTTGATAATAAGCAGATGAGAAATTAATGAAAGAACAAGTAGAAATAAACCTTTTCATTCCTCCATACCAACGCCCCACAGTCCTAACCTGTAAAATCCAGGCTGTTTCACTGCTTTTTCACTCTGGATCAAACATTCACCACCTTTAGAACCTCATGTCTTAGGTAACTACAGAAACGGGATGTGATGAACAGGCACCTGTTCGGGTGCTCTGCAACCGAGTCAAAATGAGAGAGTTGCTCTCATCTGTATTGCTTTGCAATCACACCATTACCAAATAATTCCAGTAACTCGGAGTACATCCGGTGCATGGTACTTAAAAAGTACTAAAAGCTTTTATCCTTCCCTGACATTTTTTTAAAAGAACTAAAAAAGCAATCCTATTCAATGCTCAATTTATATTTCTATCATGTCTATTTTCAGTTAATACCTATTCGTTATTACTAGTAGATCTCTGCCAAAATCCAGGTGATACAGAGTACAAGTGGTTACTGGGAGAAGCCCAGCACAGAACACTACTGCCCTACTGTTGTCCCTGGGCCACATCCCCAGGTGACTGCACAGAAAGGGACAAAGCCACCACCGCCCCAACTCTGCTCACACAGCTTCAGCAGAAAACTCAATTTCTATTTGAAATTACATTTTCTTTTTATTTTAGGCTGTGGAAGAGGAGGAAAAATAGAAGAGAGGTGTCAGCAGCACACCCAAGCATCTCCCCAAAAAGGGTAAGTCAGCAATAACACCAGGGTGCCATGCACAGCACCAGCTCTGTGCCTGTCACCTCTACCACAGGTTTTGGGTGTTTTTACAGCTCACATACCAGCCCCACACCAAACATGGGTGCCGACACATCTACTGCTCACCTGGGGTAGTGATGGTCCTTGGAGGATGGTGTTCAATGGATCCAGCCAGGCTGATCTCTTACCCTGGTTTTGGGAAGGAGCAGGAAGTTCTGGGCAGCATTTTGGGTTCCCCAAGGACCTGAGTTTCAAAAGGGGACCAGGCACAATGCAGAGACAACACCTACAGTGTTTGGTCATGTCTTACTTTCCCCCAAGCTGGCTTAGGAGCTTCTCCTTCCCCAAGCTGGCTTTTAAGAGCTGCTATGGCTTCACTTTCTGGGGTAAAATGCACAGGATTTGCTAACGAGGGGCCTGGGTTGAGCAGGGCAATTACCCTCAGGTGAGGAGCCTGATTGCCCATGGAGGCTGTGATGGGTGCAGATGTGTGCATGAGGCAGAGCCCAGCTGCGCCTCAGCCCCACAGGTGATGTGGCTGTGACTGCTCCCATATCCCCAGCTCCTGCGCTCGTTCCTATGGAGCATATGGATGTGTGGCTGCCCTTCAGCATACAGAAAATACTTTACATAATACTTGGCCAGTTTCAACAGGCGTTAACAAGTCCTGGCTACAAAACTTACCTAGTGTGTCTGACTTACTAAGTACAAACCGGGAGTCTCCACCCAGCACCCTGATGTGGCCAACTGTGGGGTCTCCTTGGCAAAATAGTAGGGGGAAACTGTTCAGGGGAGGAAGGAAGTCGTGTTTGGGGAGAGTCTCACACCTCCCTCCCCAGCTACCCCCCTGCGCCAAGGGGAAGTGAGCGCAGAGCATGTGAAACAAAATTTCCTCTTTCTGGAGCTTTTTTTAGCATCCTGCTAGTTTTTACATAGCTCATTTGGCTGAACTTTGCAATGTTACTGCTCGGGATTTCCAAGGCGCAGTTTCTCACATCGCTGTGTTTTCACTCCCCCTCTGAGGGCGGCTGCTCTCACAATGGTGTTTTTGGGTGCCCTCGGTGAGCCCTCTCGCTGCTCCCCCACTTCAGCTGGTCTTTTTGGGCCCCCTTGGACTGCAGGTTTGAAACCCCAGAGAGAAGATGCTGCGAGCACATCCCTGCCCCAGCATCGGGCTGGGGGGAGCAAAGGATGAGGCTGCAGGGAAGTTGCTGTGCAATGCCCCAGTCCCCGCTGCCTGGGCACAGCCCAGGGACCTACAATGTGGTTGCTTTGCTCAGGCACCCTGGCAGGACCAGGGCCTGTATGGGAAGCCCAGATACATCATTTTGAGGAGTTTGCTGGAACAGTAAAGATAGGGACATCTTCATAGGGCCTCAGCATCGCCATAGAAAACCAAGATGAAAGCCAGCGTCCCTCCTGTCTTCGTTAAGTACCATTCTCCACCAAGCAGCTCGTGATGATTTCCCAGCGCAGCCTGCTCTGCTTGTACCTATGGTCAGCATTTTTTCAAGCCCAGCAAGGCAAATTCTGACCACTCAGGGAGGATGTACTGGTTTTGGCCATCTGGTTTGGCTCAATCCCAGTACAGAGGAGAAGGGAGGAACCCACCTCAAGTGGGCACCACTATCACTAAGCACCAAAGGTGTTAACCAGCTGCCGAGGGTGAGCCCTGCAGCCCCAGGGCATAACAAGTGCTGCCAAAAACCATCCACCCCCTCCCAGTTACTTGTCCCAGTCAAGCTCCAGCAAATGGAAACCCAAGTCCTGGGCCTAAGTTACCCACCAGTGGCTGATGAGTAGGTGAGCACCAATTAGTTTTCCTGCATGAGGAAGAGATTACTCACATTTCTAGAATTAGTCATGCAGGTTTGTACATCAGAAGTTGGGTGGAGAATTAATAAAAGTATTGGAAAGTCTTTGAAGAGAAGGCTAATTGACTCTATGGCTTATTGATTGTCACTTCTGAAGCTTAATGGGATTATTTCATGAAGCATTTTGCTCTGCTGGTTATGTTAGATGCTGGAAGAAAGGAGACATCTCAGTTTCACTGGACTTGTTACTCAATGGTATGCAAGAGAAATTACACAAATATACAGAGAAAAGCTGCCCACCAGCCCCTGAACCATTTCCTTTTGTAGAAGATTTTCTGTTTCCACCCAAAGACACTTCAAAGTTTAGGTGCAATCGCACTGGCAAGCGTTGAACATTGGTTTCATTAATGAATGTCCATATTTTAATGCATATACCTTAAAGCACAGGAAAAAGCATCAGAGATTGCAACAGGATATAATCTTGCCTTTATAAATGTGCCTTTGGCATCTTGGTTGGTACCTACAGACTTTTCCCACTTAGACCCATGAGTTGCTTCTTCAGGCTGATGCAAAAGGCAAATCTGAGAGAGTTTGGACAGAGAGATCTGAATTTTCTCTGTATCCATCAGATCTGGTTTTTTTTTTCCTGTCTGACAGATTCAGATACTATCAGCTGCTTACCATGAAAACAATTTTAAAGTAAAGTCCACCTACAGCCACCTTAGTGATGATATCTGATATTTCCAACAGCCACCGCAGTCACACGCGCAAGATGGGTAAAAGAAAAAGCAGTTGCGAGCAAGTCAAATTTAACATAATGCAGTTCTGCAGCAAGAAATGTTCAATTAGTGGGCCGGTTGTCCCTGCTTGTGTGCAAGTATGTTCTATATTCTATCTATGAAAGACAAATGAAAAAATTGACCCCGGTTTGCTGAAAGCCACCAACTTGGGACTTCTGCTCCGTGACACAGCAGCAGCAGCTGCACCAGTGGAAAAATGTTCATTTCTCAGGGTTATTTACATAGGGAGCTGATTTTGTTCTGTCATCATCTTGGCTGCATATAGCCATTGTGTGGGTATGAAGTTTCCGAAGGGCTTTGCTGGGAAGACCAGGGGAGCGTTAGACTCAGGGGTGCTATATAAGAGCATCCCTCTGCTCATGGCAGGGCAGCCAGGAGGGATGCAGGTACGGCGCTTGCTGGAGCATCTCTGCCTCTACTGCTCTTGCAAGCTTTCTCATACCTTTTGCTTTGTACGACCCGTGTCTCCCCGTGGAGTTATAACTGCATCTTTCTGTCTTTCAGCTGCAGGGCCATGTCAGCTGCCCAACTGCTGTGTTGAGAGAAGCAGCTGAAATGCCACCCAAAAGGTGACAGAGGTGCAGCTCCGGTGACTGTCCACTGCTTTGGCACATGATGAAGCATTTCTTGATGTGGATCCCCTCCTTGTCCATCCTGCAAGCAACTGGAGTAAGGTCTGGGAACTTTGGACAAAGAGCATGAGCAAAGCACACGACTTTAATTAACTCATCCCGTAACGAAGGTGCTCCCCAGAGCAGACAAAATGATCTGGTAGCTGAAGCCTCACACAAGGATGCCGGGGCTGGACCTTTTTATTTAAGCATTTTTATTTGAGGACAACCTGGCTGCAGGAGGCAAGTGAGGAACATGTTACCATGCCAGGGCTGAGCACACACCTGGAGCACAACCATGATGAACAGTTCGACCAGCACCGAAACAGACCTGAAGCTCTACTACGCGATTACGTACACTTTCATCCTGATCCCTGGACTAATAGGAAACACATTGGCTTTGTGGGTCTTTTACGGGTACATGAAAGAGACTAAAAGGGCCGTCATATTTATGATCAATTTAGCCATTGCCGACTTAGCGCAGGTTTTGTCCTTGCCCCTGAGGATTTTCTACTACTTGACTGGGAGATGGGAATTTGGAGGAGGTCTCTGCATGCTTTGCTTCTACCTGAAGTACGTCAACATGTATGCAAGCATCTACTTCTTGGTTTGCATCAGCGTGAGACGATATTTGTTTCTCATGCACCCCTTCAAATTCAGCGACTGTAAACGCATCTGTGATGTGTATATCAGCATCGTTGGGTGGGTCGTGGTCTGCGTTGGCTGTTTGCCTTTCCCCCTTCTCAGACTTCACAAGGATGCTAAAAACACGTGTTTTGTGGATCTCCCCGTGAAGGAAGTTGGCCTTCCCACCTCCATTGTAATGATGACGATGGGTGAATTGGTGGGGTTCGTAACACCCCTACTCATCATCCTGTACTGCTCCTGGAAGACTATCCTATCACTAAAAGAAAAAAATTCTGCTTCACATGACCTCGGAGAGAAAAAAAAGGCTTTAAAGATGATTCTCACCTGCGCCCTGGTATTTCTGATTTGCTTCGGACCTTATCATATCAGCTTTCCACTAGATTTCTTTGTCAAAACCAAAAAGATTAGAAACGGGTGGGTCCAGAAGGTGATCTCAGTGTTTCACGTTGTAGCTTTGTGCCTTGCCAGCTTGAACTCCTGCGTGGACCCTGTCATCTACTACTTTACTACGGATGAGTTCAGGAGACGTCTTTCCAGACAGGATTTGCAGGACAGCATTCAGCTCCACAACCTCAGTTACGTGAGGAAGCACTCCAGAGACGTGCTCAGGGAGGACACCATGGATTACTAGCACTGGCCTTCCCCAGATGGTTGCCAGGACTTCAAATGTTCACTGTATTTTGGGTTTTGGCCCAATTTTTTTTTCCTTAAGATGCTGAGAGCAATAGCTGAAACAAACTTCTGCTGATTTCAGTGAGGGTTGCAGAAAAACAAAAATCCCCAAAACCCAAACCTGACCGAAAATACATTGAATTAATACTTTGTTTGCAAATTTTCTCCAAATAAAAATAACACTGTATAATTCCCACAGGCCCTATTTCTAAGCTGGGCAACCAGGACAGGGTAGCTTTGGTAGTAAGAGGAGAATGCAGACCCATGGTGAGAGGTGATGCTGTGCCCCATTGTCACCAGTGGGACCATTACCCTGCTGTGTCTTGGTCATGCACCCTGGCTTCAGCAAGAGGCAGCAAAGATTTTGGGGACTTGTTATTGCAAGAAAGAATTTGATCCTAAAAATTAGTAGTTGAAACAGTATTATATCTTTCTGAAGCAAAAGACAACCCAGCAGTGACTGATTTCTATGGAGAGTGGCAAGAGCCTGCCTCAAGCCATGTTGACTATGGGGTGAGTAGTGTAAGGTGGCCCCAAAGGACTTGCCATTTAAATAATTAACCAAGCCTCCATCTTGGGGTGTAGAAAATGACATACCCCCAAATCACAGAGTCATTGAAGCATCCAGAAGCTATTTTTCTGCCGTCAGTTGTCACTTCTGTCTCAAAAGCCATATGGTTTGAAGCCATATCTCTGCCTTGGATAAGCTTTAACCACAGAGCCATGCTTCAAGGATATTTATTCAGGCTAGATGTTCATTGAGCATGACCATTTCAGGTCCTTTTTTCACCAAAGATGGGGCAAATTATTTCCCTTTCCCTGATACCTGATCCTATGCTATCACATCTACTCTTCATTAACAGTCGCTTGATTAAGACGCAGTGAAAGGAACCAAACCTGCCTGAAGTTTACAGTAATGAGAACTCGTTTGCCAAAGGTGCCACCCAACATGCTACAAGACATTTTTAAGCAAGGCTCAAGTGTGAATGTATTTTTAATAATAATTTCTTTAAAATCAAACAGCAGAACGTTTGAGCTTGACTGGTATTTCATTTGCACCTTCTTGTAAAATCCATTTTTCTGTGAATATTTGAAATGTTACCTTTTACAATGTAAAAATACTGTGACAGCGTTAGGTTTTATTTAATGCAAATGTTGTTTTATAGATTTAATTTATAAAAAAGTATATATTTTGTAGAAAAATGATGGGAATCTCAGAGAATGTTGGAACACAGAGAGACTTTTTTTCTTTTAAAACACCTTTCCATATAATAAGAACAACTCCACCACCTCATCCCTACAGAAGTCTGAGCCAGTGTGTGTGTACCTCAGTGTGTCAACTGAGTAACACTGATAATTCATGGAAAGCAAGCAGCACATTGTAATTTGTTCACAGCAATTAAAAAATATTTATTTTTTGATTTCCTGTTGTATATAATAAAAAAATGCCTTTAAAAAATAAATGAAATTTAATTCTTGGCCCACTTTACCTGCTGTAACTGCCTGCATCACCAATACACACACAGACCAACGCCTGGCAGCACATGGATGTCCAACACCTCTCGAGCACTCGTACAACATTTTAGATGCCTTCTCAAAATTATTTTATCTTCCTTCTGGGAAGAAAAGTGAAACCACTGGTTTGCAAAGGGATAAAACACTGCTGCAAACTGCAGCAGCTCATCTGCCCCATGAGAGGTTCACCAAGACAACATCAACTCCTACAGCTGAAGGCCAGCATTGGGACAAACCCATCGCTGTCTTTGCTGGCCACTGTCTCCTGTCCCCAGCCTCATAGGAGGGGAGCAGGATGGCCCCACACAACCACCCTAAAGCTACTTTTAGCTTCTGAGAGGAAAAGATGTTACACAAAGCGGTCTCAGAAGTTCAGAAATTGTTCGATGAGAAAAACCTCAATAAGCTGAAGTTTTCCCACCTAGAAAATGCTGTGGGTGCAAAGCAAGCCGTTTCCCCCGCTGCCTTGGCAATGCGGTTTGTTCATGTCAGCATTAACGGTCTCTTTTTACAGGAAGTTGAGTGCAGTAGTTGCAGTCACTCACATGAGCTGAATTTGGGTGAGCCCTGCCTGCTCTGCACCTGCCACGGCACCTCTGGGCTCCTGATGGGATTTGCTCGGGCCCTGCTCTCCATCGCAGAGGTCTCACAAGCCCTTAACTTGATGGAGAATCACGATATTACTTACATTAACAGAAGGTGTATTTTCATGGCCTGTTGATGGCTCGGGATCCATGACACTAGCCCCTGCTTGAGCCCCAGAGCAATCACACGCCAGCAGAGAGATGCTCTTCTGCATTTCTGCCAGCCAAGAAAGCCTCAGGTGGTGGCCCATAGCACACAGGAGGTTTGGAGAAGGCACATAAAGCCCAGCCACTGCAGCAGCAGGGAGCAATTGCTGTTTGATCGCTTTTCTGTCCAGTTTCCAGCTCTGTGCAGGGTGAGATCCCATCCCTCACCTGGCCTTCGCACAGCTCTGGCTGCAGCTCCTCATTAAAGCCAGCAGAAGCTGATATTCCCACCGAAATATTTTCTCCTGAAAGCCTTCTGAGTAAGTAATCTGCTCTGCAGCACTGGACTGGGAATCTGAACAAGAATGTATCTGACAAGTGGCTTTTTGATGCAGAGTTAGGTTTAATTTGTGCTAGGTCAAAAGAAAAGGTATATTCTTTTTTTTTCAGCAGTTAGGTTTCAGGAGAGCTATTCTCTATCTGGTGGTGAAAGAAGCCTTTTTCAAGGATTCTCTCTGAAACCAGGAGCCAGAGGCACGCTGAGGGTGGGCTGCATCCCTCCCAATCCCAGAAAACCCATTTGTGCCAATGGCGCAGAGCCAGAGAAGGTTTCAGGGTATGCTCAGCAACCTTAAGCTGTTCAGATACAGCATCAAGACAAGGCGCTTTCTGGGATGAATTATTTATACCTAACACAAGAAGGCGAATGAGGATGCCATTGGAAGGAGAGCTCTTGGTCCATTTCTGAAGGCTGCACATCACAGCCCCCCCCTCCACCAGTTTCCATCGACTCCCACGCGGCCGTGCGCCTCCGAACCCACACGGCGCGGAAAGAGCAGGCGCTGTCTGCTGCAGCTGCAGATGATTTCATCACACCTTGGGCACCGCTCCGCACAGCTTCCTTTGTTTCGCTGTCATCACGAGAAGAGACATGACAGGGGGGTTTGGGGTTTTTTTGGTTTGTGTTTTTTTTTTCAGGTTGAGACTTAAAACTGCTGCGGAAGTGAGAGAGTGTGTGCTGGCCTCTCTTTGCATTCTCCTCTTTAGACCTCCTCAAGATGGTTGTGTTGAGCCAGATCAGAGTCCACCAAAGCAGGTCGCTTGCTCCCGATGGTGGGCTTGGGGAGGGCATTGAAACACTGAGCTGTGGGCAGCAATCCCACCTGGGCACAGCCGTCCTCAGCTGCTGGTTGTGGGGCTTCCTGCAGCTGCACTGAAAGCATGAAAAGCTCTTTTCCAACCTGGTAGATCAATATTCACTGGAACCCACCGATCCCTTGAGTTCGGTGACAATGAATTCCCTATTTTAGTTGTATGTACATTGCTTGGAAACATTTCGCTGTTGCTTTCAGCCAGCCACCTGACAACAACTTTCAGTGTCCCTTCCTCTTGCACCACAAGCAACTGATTCCCTCATTTCCCACACTCAGGACCCCCAGCCACCTCCTGGGTGGGAGCACAGTCCCACAGCACGCGTCCTCCATGGCCATAGCCCATCACTTTTCCAATGTCCTCTTCATCTCCTCTGCCATCACCAGCCATTGCCCATGAGCTATTGGACACAACTCAGAAGGTCTCCTTTCTGCATGAAAAGGGCTGATTTACAGCTCATCTTACCTAAACAAAGTTTTTCTTCTCCCGTACACATCTTTTCTTTTATCAGCACTACATTTTATTTGCTATTGTGTCATCTGGTTGCTCAAAGTCCTGAGAAGAATCCTCATTTCTCTGTAGCCGGTGTTAGATTTTCCTGCTCTGGTTAAGGTTGCATCAGTAGCAGACTTCAGCACTTTTTACCTCACTGTTTACTTCCTTTTTCACTTTGCTGTTAGAGGCTAAAAATTACTATCATCCCCAGCGTCACTGAAACAGCTTGTTGGCCACAAAGGTACACAACAACATCAAACGCAGTGCTGCTGGACACCATTCCTCAGACCACAGTAACTGAAATAAAACTCCACAGCGAGTGACCCAGATACAAGTCAACCCCTATCCAGTACAAAAACAAAAAAAAAAGATAAAATATTATCAGAGATGGCTTGATAAATACCCTGAGAAAAAGAGAGCAAAGCTGGAGTTGTCTGAACAGTGTCAGGCTCATGGTGCCTGTCAGGGCAGAGGAGCTCCAACATCTGGGCTGACAAACTGAGCTCTGTGTAAATGTGATCTATATGATAGACATTAGTGGCCAAAAGATCTGATTTTGAAAAAAAAAGATCCAGTTACTTAAAGCCATCAAGAACAAAGTAATAGTAATAAAAACCCAAACCACATCTGCAACAGCTGTTCTGGTACCAGCACTCACTGCTGTAATGAGTTTGCAGGGACTGGCAACTACCATTGGATTAACCTGCTTCACTCACCCCCTCACTAATGCAGTGATTTGTACTTGAGAATTTAACTGCATGGATAACATTGCTGACATATTAAAGAGAGGAAGCCTCTATGAATTTCTCAAAATTAAAAGAAAAATAGGCCACAAAGGAGAGTATTTGGGAAACTTGGGGTGAAAACATGACAGTCTAGTTGAAACGAGCAGTCAGATGTACAGGAATCTCTGTTTTGCTGATCATCAGCTCTTTCCTCCAGTGTTTATTTAATGTTTTCTGCTCTATTAAAGACTGGTCCATAGTCTCTCAATACTAACAGATTACCACAAAAAAGGTTTCATACTTTTTATATAGTTTCTTATTTCCCGAGACTGAACTCCACG